GCAGGTGTGAAGTTAAGTAAGAGCATTGTAGAAGAACCAAAAATTCGTGCGTGTAGCAAATCAGCGAGATTAAGAAGCTTTCAGCTCAAGGAGGGATCTTGGCTGAGCGTGTGGACGCGTTCAGTGACGCTGGTGATTTGTTGAAATTCCTCGTTTAATTCGATATTGTCGCTGATGAAACCGAATATGTTGAGCCGATTATGGCAAACTCTAAACAAACGCTCAGACAGAAATAGACGTGCTTCAATAGCAATGTACGTAGACACGAGATTAGAAATTGCTACACCGTTTTCACAACACTATCCGAAAAAATCCACGGCGCTATTGCAAGGTACAGGGGTGTCCTTCAGGACTGAGTCTAGGAAGGGTAGGAACATAGGGAAAATGAAAACCGCTCACGCACTCTGGAGTTCTCGTGTACCACCTAGAGCTTATTCGTGGGGATAACGACTTTAACGAAAAGGGGATGCTTTACGCTGTTCAAAGGCATCACTACCACAATGCCCCCATTTCTTGCGATAGCACCAAATCCGCTACAGTACCTCGGCCTTGTCAATAATCGATATAAACACAAAAGGATTCAGTGTTGACCAAGCCTTTACGGCATGTACCAGGCATACTATTAGGTATTAGGATCCATAATTTTTGAGACACTTTGGATGTTTTTCGATTCAATTGATTATTTATTTCTTTGATGTATTTATTCAACATATTACCAACATATAACCAATGCGAGGGTAGGTATTCAGTGTCTCTCTTGTAGAATTTCATAGAGTTCTGATCGAAGAAAAATTGGATGTCGATTTTGACATATGGTGATTCAAGTGAGATTTCTTCTCCAGAAGGTGATTGAGAGAGGAGAGCGGATAGTCGTTCGTTGGCACAAGGTTAGTGCTACAAGGCGGAGCTAAAAGAACTGACCGCCCGAGAGTCTCCAATTTTTATGAATTTTCTTAGCAAGGTGGACTCGAACGACCTCAGAAAAAATTTGTCTTACTTTGCTTTCAATTTGAAGGCGTCGCCATCAAAACTGTCGACGATTACCTTCACCACTGACATTGGTATTACTTGGTGTAAGCCCCTCACGCATTCCTCCAACAACAGAGTAGGGTAGAATTCGGAGGGAGTTGAGTAGAGGTAACTACCGGAGCACCGTGTGTTGAGAGAGGCGTGCCCTCAACTATCTTCTGGTTGATCCTACGTCCTACGTACGCTTGGCGCGTGGAAGATCCTAATCGGTAGTCATGAAGAAAGAGGCTCAGAAATAGGTTTCAAAGAAATTGGAATCCTAGCTAAAGAAAGCAACAAGCAAACGAGATGGCTAGCCTGTCGGATAGGCGAGCTTGTGTGCTAGGTTGCAGGACATCTTGGAAAGCTTCAATACTTGTCAAAAAATTTTTACAACAATACATGTAACTTTTTCATACTGGGTAATCTCTGTGTGGTAGCGGGGTTTCCGCTTAAAGGAATCTTGCGCGGAAAAATCATGATTCTATTTCAGCCATAAATCACTGGCTTGAGACTCATTATCCACGATAATAGTGAAAAGAACTGAAGTATTGCTTTCGTTTTGATTAGAAATTCGAAAACTCGAAAAGGCTGCTACGCGTTCGAATTGCCCACGGACGTCTTTCACGAATGCTGGCGACGGGGATGCTCAAACTTGGTTCTTGGAGTGCATTCACTAGAAGCTCTTTCTGGCCTTCTGCTTCGTTGCATTCACATCTTACACTTCTACTCCATCCTATTCCATCGATCGATTTGTCTCCACTCTCCGAAATCGCGCGCTTTAACCCGATTCTCTCATTGCGTCGCCTGGTACGTAGCCGGCCAAACGCCGTCTTCTTTCCATGCCTCGCCTGGCTCTGCCTCCTGGTCCTTCGATGGTCCATAACGTGTAGTTTTTGTACGTTTGTTTCTCTTCAGAAACCGAATCTTCATGCGTGAAACTTTGTGTGCTATTTCCAGTGATCACAACTGACATATTCATGTTAGGAAAGAGTGCAAGAATTTTCCGCGCAAGATTCCTTTAACGGTGGAACCCTGGGCCTCAGAAGACGACGATTTTGTTGGGCCGAACTAATAACTATGACTGAATCGTACGGCACAAACAACTAACACAAATAAGAACAAGGATGCCGAGGTCACAATAGAGAGAAGCTGGAGAATACGTGTAAAGCGTCTCAAAAATCATGGACCGATCTAATACTTTCATTCGTGTTGCAGTAGCAATTGAATACGGTTTGACCTATGCAACAACTGTAGGGAATGGCCCATGTATAATCCTGTGCTCCATTCCTTCGAAATAGGTTCAAATCGAACAATCCGCTGGTTGCGACGCGACCGCAGACGCTGGCGAGTCGCTCGATCCACAAACTCTGGCATCGGTTTAAGGAACCGTTCATGAAAAAACAATGAACCACATCCTAAACCCACTATTCTAACATTCCTGCAGGTCTGCTGTGAAACTTAGTTTTTTATTTTTCACCACTACATGAACTTTCCGCAAAGTTTCTTTTTTTTCTGTCTTTTTTTTCTTCTTCACTTTTCTATGTCCTACGTTGACCTCGCATTGTTTTTATGTTCCTCCCGAATAAATCTTTCAGAAACAGGAAACATCTTAAGATGGTTTTGTAGAAATGTTTAACTTGGTCTTTGCTTCGTTCGCGATCGTGTATCAGCACTTTACGCTCACGCTAATCACTTGACGACTTAGATGTACGGACGTCTCTGTGACATGTAAATGTAGCAATTCTTTTAATAGTAGCCGATCATCACGAGCCGATTATGCAAGAGACACGATCCCCACTGCGTCATGTCCAAGCTCAAAATCCGTAATCGTCCACTTCTTTTAACATCTTGAGCTGAAAAGCTTCCCAACACACTTCTGGTAGATTGCTCCGTCTAAAATTCAACCAGGATCGTTAGAATTCACAACGAGCTTTTTTGGAGCTGCAATACAGGAAAAACTCTGACTCAGCCCAACCTCTCATAGTAAAACGATTCTTTTGTACGTTGAATAGGTTCCACCGTAAACACGTTAGCGGTGGGCGCAGTGGGTATGGTGTCACATTTTACCGACCTCTTTCCTCTGTGCACTCCACGACGACAGCCACGACGAAAAATAACCGTCCAATGTGCGGAGCACCATTGCTGTAGAAAATGGAGAACGGGAAAACGCTTAAACCAGCCAGAGCGAGTGGCTGCAAAAAGGCAGAGACGCAGGCGAGTCAGCGGACGAGTCACAGCGCATACTGTAGTGATTTAGCGTCAAGGTTAAATAGAATGTACTATAGTACGTCCCACATCGCACAGTACGCGCTGCGACTCGTCCGCCAATCCGTCTGTGTCTCTGCCTTCTCGCTGTACGACGGGCCTCCGTCGAGTGCAGCTAACCGCATTCAGGAGCAATCAGGACTCCAAATATAATGAAAATTGAATGATTAGCACATCCCACAAAGGTTTTGATCATTGTTTACTGCGTTTTGATTGTATGTATCATCACTGAAACACTTCATCACTGAAAAAAAAACCTGCGAATACTTTACTATCTTCAGCTTCACTTTATTACATGCGCAACCACATGCCAAGAAAGATGTAAAGAACAGCATAAAAAACGAACAACCATTATTTGGGTCAGAGCAAGTTCAGTAAAAGGATGCTCTTTTAGAATATCTTGAGGTCACTTTTCGATTGAAAACCCGATCGGGATGGATGGCGTCTTATAGACAACACGTAGCGTTCAAGCAAGCATTGCTTTGGGCCGCCTTTAGGCCATTTTGCGGACACGTCAAAGTTCATGACGACCTTACTGATACAGTCAACATTTGCGCGAAAGGCGTGACCGTATCATCCAAGACAAACCTAGGGCTTATCACCAGCGAGGGCAACTACCGTAAACGTTCCACTGTAGCAGCACTAGGCAGGCAGTCTAAAAAAGCTTCAGTCCCTTTCCTGTGTAAAAATTCGTTTGAAATAAAAAGCTGCGCAAGCTCGTTGGGACAAAATTTCTTAGTTCTTGTCAGCTAACCACTTCATCAAAGCAAACAAAGCATTCTGACCCCTTCCCATCGTGCTTTTTTCCTGCATTTAATGCCACTTGTTACATTCTCAATCGAGGAAAACCATTATGTACACGCGGGTCTTGCGTCTTCCAAAGCTGGAGCCTGAGTCCGACCCCCCCCCCCCCGCAAAACCTCATTTAAGCCCCAGGCGGCTCAACTCCTAAATTCCTTGGTGGTAAGCTGCTCAGCAGCCAAGAAGATCTTTGAGCCCAGAAGTTTGAGCACTACTTGCCCCATTTCCTCGTTCTCACTGGTCTGTAAATAAAATACAAATATAATCCAGTTAATGATTCATTTGGGCATAGCAATAATGCCCCAAAACGTAAAAACGAAAACCAGACAGTACGAAGATATCGGCGAGTGGGACAATTCCGAAATAATTAGGGAGAAGAACGCACCGTTGTTAATCAAATAAACGAACAAATCAAACAGAAATGAAGTGCGCTAAAACAATGAGTATCTTGTGCATATGAGTATCATACCCACTAAACAGAAACAACAATGGTCTGCTCCGGATTCGTAAAACGATCGAACAAAATTCATGATGGTAATGAAACAAAAAATTCAAATAAAACATATGGTGACGATCAAATGTAACTAAAACAAACCGTTTACTTACAAGTATTAGAAACTTAAGTTGAATCAATGAAACACTCAGCACTTTAAAACGTTCACACGCTCACAAATGCACACTATCTCAAATACCGTATCACAGTTAAATTAATCAGTGTTAAATAAAACTCAAACCAAAAGGTATATAATTACAGTTAAGAGTGACTTTTTAAGAATTAGACACACACACATCATTACTGTTGACTATGAATGTCTGTGTAATAGATCTAACCATTGAAATATCCGTATAATGGAGCGCTATCAAAACGAAACAAGTCGCTTGCGCAAGATACATCGATAATGTAACGACACAATTCCAACTCCTTATAAGGTACGGAGGTCACGGGTACCACTCTTCGGAGGCGGCATGCTGAAACCATCTTATTATATTGAATATTATTTTGAATATCAATCCCATTACATTCCATCATTTGAAACGAAATAGCCACCTAATACTTTATTCTTCTAGAGGTTAGCCTCACAATAGGATCCAAGTTGATCGAACCGATGATGGACTGTTCAAGGGCTTCAACTGCTCCATATTTCGCGTCGACGCTCTGGGAGCCCAGGATTTCGCATTAAAATCAAGGTATGAGAGCTTGCAACTTGCACTTCAGGAACTACAAAATTTCTATGGGCATTTCAATTTGATACCGAGCAAGTTGCACGTATTTGCACTATTGTGCATAACAGTCCAAGAACAACGGCAATGCTGGCGAATTACTAGCAGGAGAGTTTTTAGCACCATTTAGAATCCGTAATGGAAAAAAGAAGGCGAGGACTAACTCTTCATTCCTACAGAAGAAACCCGAGATCATATGGGACCCTCCCATGAAAATGCTCTGCGTCAAACAAATGACAGCTTGTTAGTTCTTTACAGAACCCTTCCTGGTGCTATACAAGTAGGGTGGGCACGCCGCATTTTTTGAACAGAAATGTATGTAAGTGGGACTGCTGCCCGCTACTATACTGTCACGAGAATCGGGGAATTCGTGAGCCAGGGGAGTGTAGCCAATCTAGGGGTTGGGGGGTGAGGGCAGTCACTGACATGTGCGAAAAGCTGGCCGAACTTGCATAGAGCCCCCTTTTTCGCTATCAGGTTGATTTAGTTGGTCTTCCTCTCGTCGTTCCGGATCGCTTCGTCCATACTGTTGAGGAGGAGGAGGCCTAGGCAAACGATATGGCTACCACAACATCTGTGAAAAATTTACGCCCATTCTCATTACTATACCTTTCTTTTATTTATAGAAAAAGAAGTGGGAAAATTCCATAAACGGAAATACATTTGTGAAAAGGTGAAAAGTTGTCTCAGAAAAGACCATTAAGTTAGTTGAAATTGAGATTAATACAAAAACACAACCTAGGTTTTTAGGTATAGATAACAGCACTTCTCTAAGCCCACAGCAATTTTGGATAGCAAAAGTTTGAGTGGCAAGAGCAATCAAAACGATCCACCACACGACGACACACGCAAGCTTAGCTCCAAATTTGAAGCAAGGTTTCAGCATTTTAGAGAAACAACGGATTAAATGTTACCTCGGCTGCTGTCCGTATGGATTCGGCACAACTCCTGGTATGTATCCTATATGAGCGTGACCCACAGGAGGTGGTCCTGGTTGGAAAGGAGGCGCGTTTGGTGGATATGGCATATATGGATTGGCTACAGGATACGGCATAGCAGCTTGTGGACCTGAAATAGATGAGTAAATAACTGTGTCAGGGATTGTATTATGAGCGCTAGTAAACACCATACTCACCCGCGCAGTAAGGCATTTGAGATAATGAAGGAGTATTTGCGTATGGATTCGGTACGAGCGGAGCCAAACCACTGGAAACATAGATGCTTTTCGAAAAACAAAAAAAAAACATTCAAAACAACAAGGCGTTTAGCAGCCTCTACTTAATCAATTTTTCTATTGCCAACCAAAAATTCAACAGGTGGCGAAAACAGTTCAAAGTCAACAACCAAGACCCCTTTGTATTGAGTCGCCCGTATCGGCAAAAAAAATATATCAGGAAGCTCTCGTGAAATGTATTCCACGATTGTTTCCTGACAGAGATCACACTAACCGAACTCAAGAAAAGAAAAAATCTCTGGAACATTTCACTAGAAAGAGAGAACAACTCAATGGACATCCATTGGTGGGGTTGTATTACAAACGAGCTTCAACACTTGGAATCAAAAGAAGGTTGTCTACTAAATACTCGACAGAGATTGATTCGATTGATAATTGGAATTCTTCTAAGAAAACCAAAATGAAACTCACACGTTAGAATTCCTTTCTCCAGCTGTGTAAGGAGGGGTAGACACCGCAGAAGGGGTGACTTGATGGCGGGCGGACGTCGGTGCCGATGGGGATGCCTCGGTCACTGGCGGTTTCACTGCAGTTGTAACTGTTGCAGCCACGTAAGGATTTGGCGGCGGAGTCTTAACATCAGCAGCCACTTGAGGCTTTTCCTCAGAAGCTGCAACCGGAGTTGCTGGAGCAGGCGTCACTTTTGGTGATGTCGAATGAGGAACAGCTTCAGTAACAATTGGTTTCACTTCGGCCGATTCAGCAGCCGTTTTAGGAGTAGGCGCTGGAGCAGTAGTAGAAGCAGGAGCAATCGGTGTTGGTTTGGATTCCACCGTAGTAGGTGCAACATTATTCTGAAGCTAAACGTATTAACAACAAAACCTCGCCAAAATGAAAGAAAAAACTACCTCATGTGGCGTGACGATTGGGATGTCATCCGATTTAGCTTCCATCTTTGGCTTTTTCGGCTTGGGCTTCAGATCTGCAATGTTTTAACAATATTTCTAGAATGTACGTCAAGCAGAAAACATTAGCTTAGACCATTGCACAGATATAAGGACGGTCTTTATACCGAGATCATTGTCGCTGTCTTCCAAATCTTCCTTGTTGTCCTCTTTTTCGACAGGCTCTTTCGGCTTCGCTGTTGCAGCCGCTTCACGAGATGTTTCTTCGTCTTCCTCTATCTCTTCATCATCTTCGTCGTCATTCTCGGCATCCTCGTCAGGTTCAAAAACATCAGATTCAGAATCAGAACTGGAACCCAAACAATGTAAGCAATAAACGCAACATCCAAGACTTAGTGTAAAAGAAACAGGTTAGCCAAATAATATAATCTAAAAATAGTGCATCGCTTACACAGCTTTTCGTTTTTTAGCCTTATTCGGTTGTGGCGATTTTTTGTCTTGTACCGCATCTCCATTTTCGATCTCATCATTTTCATTGCTTTCACACTCGTCTTCGCTGTCCTCCAGCAATGCCTTTTTCGACTTGACGACAGCTTTGCGAAGAGGCCTGAAATGTTTCTCTTAAACTTGGAGGAAACTGAAGTAGAGTGAGATGCCCGCTATAATTTTTCTTGAACAGGAGCCCCAACGCTCAGCGCGGCTGTAATCCTTAACAATAACACGAAGCAACCAATGGAACAAAATTGGAGCCCTGACTAGATTAAGAGCATCGTTGCCAGTTTCCCAGCTGATCTGTCAAGAGGATCAAGCAACAAATACTCACCGTCCAGTACGGGTACGAGGTGCATCACTATCTTCATCCCCTTCTTCCATTTCAAGTTCATCATCAACCTCGTCATTCGACTCTTCACTTGACGGTTCAGTTCGTTTCTTACCCTTCTTTTTCCTCACTGCAGAGTCATCCGAATACGTTTCATCTTCTTCTTCGTCTTCCTCTTCCGACTCGCTGTCTGACTGCCTAAACCCTCGGCTCATAAAAAAAAACATAATATGCGTGTGAGCTACACCAAATAATGTCATTCAGTTTTTCTAGTCACATGTCAACTGACTGGAATATTCGCCTGCTCAGATCATTTTTTCCAAAATGGAACTGGACCATTTTATTGCTTTGAAGTGCGCAAAGTATCAGCTTACCAGCGTCCTCGCTTGCGCTTCTTTTCCTTGGCTTTGCGCTTCTTACGGCGAGGTCCCACGTAACTATCGTCCGATCCGGAAACAACGAAATCCTCATCACTCTGTGTTGGTTTAAGAGAGATACGACCTCCACCGCCGGATCTATAATCACCAAATGTAGAAAAACAAGCCGGAAGTGGTCTAAGTCATCGACAAAAGTACTGTTAACGACAGAGAATCATAAACCTAGGAATAACCTGAAGGTAGTTATCACCGACCTTTCCTTACGGAGTTCACTTTCCGACGGTACGTAATCCGAAGAAGACTGGGCGTCTTCTTCTGCGGCTTCCTCTTCAGACCTTCAAACGAGCGCTATTACGAATGAACGCAAGCTATCAGTCACTAATAAGAGAACAGGCACGGAAACACATACTCGTTCGCCTTGTACTCATCGGTGTCCGAATCTGATTCATCGTTGACATTCAAGTCATTCAACCGACGGCGGTGCTTCGGCAATTGACGAGGTGGAGCACCAGCAGAAACCCTGAATAATACTCGCAAAATTTAGTTCAACCGCGCGCCATTTCGATAGAGAGCACCCGACCAGAACAAAAAAAAAACAGAACACGTAACTAATTCGATATCAGTAAATTTTTGCAATAGAGCAAGCGGTGAAACTCCAGTTCGGGGGGGGGGGCACTCCATTTTTTCTCCAATACTCAAGATAAGGATTAGAGGGCTCACGACACGTAATCGACTCATTTAAAGTAGACTTCTGATAAATATTGGTGTAATGGGTGAGAAACCCTGAAACGTTTTCACATTTCCGCCTGCCATGACCCAAGGGAACGGTCCTGGACCAGGAGAAAGGACACCTCCGCAAAGGGCTGCAGGAGCTCCAGGGTGGATCACCTGTGCAGAAAAGTGGATGGGATGTGGGCAGGTAGTGTGGAATGTAGGACATCCACCGGTCCTTATCAAAAGTACGCTCGAAATGAGTCGTTCACTTATTATCTTATCCGTAGTGTTCGATAGCCCAAAGAACTGCTCTCTAGTACTACGGATAAGATAGCAATGGAGTGCCCCCCCCCGAACTGGAGTTTCACCGAGCAAGCTCATTCTCAACATACTTTGAAAAGTTTGGAAAGCCGAAAGAGCTTACCTTGGAGTACCATCTTCTCGTTGCTTCTGGGCTTCAATAATATTCGCCATATCCTTCCCTCGACCGGCGCCACCCTGAGGACGGGCAACCTCTGAAATATCACTGTGACTGTTTATCATATGCCTTCATCCAATAAACAAGTGAACAGCAAGAAAATTACAAAGATCGTATCTTATTATTAAAAGCTACTACTACCAACCATTCATTGTATCAGGAGGAGGAGGTGATTCATTCATTCTACATGCCTCCTTGATTACCGAGTCAAACTCGGAGAACTTGTAGTCGACCTAAAAAAAAGAAAAATAATCGCACTTGAGGAGCTCAGGTGAGCGAGTTTCAACTTCCACATACTGCACTTCTATAAATGGCAAATTCTAATTGAACTCTTTCCTGTCACTAATTATAATTTCATGCCCTTTTCTTCGGTTTATAATTTCTCACGCATAAGATCACCACACGATGATCGCGATCACAATATCAACCAACAGAAACATTTTCAGTCATAAATTTAAACGCAGCAGCAAAAATGGAGGCATAATAAGAATAGTAGAAAACCAAAAGCAACAGTAAAAATTGAATTTGTATTCAGCTTGCAGCAAGAAGGCAAACACACGAGGGGTCGGGAAAAGGATAATGGCGACCTTACGACCTTACAAGAAGTCTCCAAGCAGGGTAAATAGACAACCGTCCTCCCACCTAGATGGATTTGCCAGAAAAGAACTTTTCAGAATCACAGCACATGCCAGAAATCCATCACAGCACACTGAGGTTTCTTTTTTGACAAAAGTCATAAGTATGGATAAGAGTCTCAATGAAATTGAGATGAGAATTGTTTCTTATTTTTCAAAGGAAAAATTTGCCTCGATTGATTACCGCTTGACTGAGTACCACATAACGATATTCAGCTTCATACACAAACAGGGAAGGACTTCGAAACGATCACCTTTTTTACGGAACGCCTTGATCTTCCCTCAGCCACCGTTTGCACGTGTATCGGGGCACGTCGTACATTCGGAGTGATTCGTCTAAAAAGCAACAAATTTAGTTTTTGCGAACTCTTTATTACCCAAGATATGGAACATTAGATCTGGAGAGCCTTTCATACACCCCAAAAATGTTCCCTGCTTTTAGGTGTCCTAAAACAAGGTTAACAGCATAAGAAGGTTTTCGCAGGGCGCAAAATACGCTTCACGGTAAAGAATGACGTCAGAACAGAACAGGCAGGTCGACTAAAGCAGAAAGTCCCGCAGAAAATCTCACTACACACAGTTCTCGAATCTTCGCGAAAGTGTAACATTATGAGAAGTGAAAAACAAAGAATTTCTAAGAGATCAATAAATTCTTGACAAAACTAGGCGCTTACTTGACGGCCTTCTTCTTGCTGCGTCGCTGCCCGTCGTCGCTTGACGACGAGCTTGAACTGTCCACAGCGGCTTGCTTCAGCTGAATAGCAAGTCATTACTATAAATAAAGAATCCTCGCTTCTCTAATTTCACAACACCATTGCAATTTGATTTTTTAAATTAAGCAGGATCTTCACCTTGCTTTGAGGAAAGCGTACTTACTGTTACCATTGGCCGATGTCAGACTTTGCGATTGGAGCGATTTTGCACCAATTGCAGGAGCGACGGATCGCTTGAGCGATGCGAGCGACGGGAGATTTACGAACTGATGGCGCCGAATTATCGGTGGTCGGCGGTGTAAATCTCCCGTCGCTCGCATCGCTCAAGCGATCCGTCGCTCCTGCAATTGGTGCAAAATCGCTCCAATCGCAAAGTCTGACATCGGCCATTGCGTTACTCCTCAGGCAAGGCTACATCCCCACTGCGGTTACAGCTCAAAAAATAATAACCTCACAATACTTATACGATCGTTTTTGCAACATATCTTTGACTTCTATGTTTTGATTTAAGTCGGAAGCCGTGCACTTGAGACCCTACCTGAAGGCAAAACTAGTGTAAGCCAATAACGTTGAAATGTGGATCAAAGGGGGCCAAATCGTGCATCTGTGAAACAAGAAACAAGCAGAATGGTCCAAAGCCCAAGAAACGGCACCCTTTCCTCCCCTTGGGTTCAAATTGAGGCAAGTCAACCATGGTTATCTCAGTTGCAACAACTAGCATCTCGTGCTCCTACAGTTCGTTAAACCGTCCGATGTCAAATTTGCATTGTCCCTTAATCCCCAATACCAAAATCTAAAGTAATACAACAGAATTTGGCGTGGTTTAATATATGGGAAGGAGAGGTACCCTTATTTAAAGCCTCACAGAACACTACGTGCAATTACACGGCCGACTTATCATGGCACGTCAACGGAATCGATGAGCACCACCAGTGTTTTGACCCTATAAGACGCAAGTGTGAGCACTAAATATAATTCTTCACTCCTTAAATATGGCACAATTCTACTGAGATGAAAGGGAAGGCTAAAAGAAAAAAGTTCTTCGAGGAAAATAGAACTGCTAAGCATCTCGGAGTACAGGCACATTCATAGTCGGTGATTCGATCGTAACGATCGCAGCATCGCGTAACGGTTAGATACGCATCGATCTTTCAATCCTTGGACACATATGACGATCGATACGCATCCAAGCGATCGTTACGATCGGACGACCGACTATGAATGCGCCCTCCCTCCGCATATCTCCTCCAGCTGAGGTTTAGTCCTGAACAGAGCGTTACCTTAATGCAGAGTTGTCCGCACCCCCAGCGATACATAGCGTTCAAAATAAAAAGCATTCGAACAAATGTCAAAAAGAATTTCACTGCGAAACGATTTTCAAATCAGGTAGAATGAACATCACATCACAGACGTCGAAGAAGTGGTGTAGAAACGAACGTGGATCAAACGCACGCATCTTCGCGTAACGCAGCGTTCACGCCGCAATTGCACACGTAAGGTGTGCAACAAGGTTACAAGGCTTCTGTCAACCAAAGGGTGAGAGCGTAGCTGGAAAAGCACACACTTTGTGTCTTATTGGGACTAAGCCTTTTGAAGGAGATAAAGAAAGAGGAGATGCTGTGATAGTGTGCACTTGTGAGAGCTCCCAGACATCACTACAAAACGCTGAACCGCCAAGCCTCACGGTTGACAGAAGTCCTGAGACCGTGCAACAAAAGCACCTCTCTACATAAGGCTTACGCACGAATATCTTACTCACCATTACTTTACATGTAAATGAAAATGAGGGCCTATTCCGAAATGGAGAGGGCGTTATGATGCAGTTTTTCCAGAAAGCTAGGGTGATTTCAAGCCAGGGGGATGTAGCCAGTCCACGGGTGTGGGAGGTGAGGGCAATCACTTGACGTGCGTGAAAAGCTGGATGATGCCCCCCCCCTAACTGGAATAGACCCGCCGGATTTCCATCGAATTTCG